AAAAATAAATAATAAAAATTTAAAAGCAATAATAGTCCATACACATGCAAAAGGACACACTTCAGTGTTTTTGACACAGTTGGCCTCCGAATCCACAGATTCTGCATCCTCTGAGTCCACAACCTTCAGGTGGGAAATATTCAGGAAAAAAAAATCCCTCTGTACTGAAATAGATTTTTCTTATTAGTCCTAAAAAATGTAGTTTCATACCTGTTTACATGGATTTTACATGATATAAAGTGCTAGCAATGGAGAGATGATTTAAAGTGTGGGGGAGGCCTGGTGCTGGTTCTATGCAAATGCTCCCCTGTTTCACAGAAGAGGGTAGACTGTCTGGGGATTTTGGTAACCAGCTGCTGGCGGATACTAAGGAGCACCTTCATACTCCCGGAGAGGTGCAGCTACCCACAGCCTACACAGAGCACAACCATGGCCCCACGCCCATCAGCTTCACTCTTCTGCGCCCCCTCCTGGACAGTGTGTGTCTGGGGTGTCCCCCGGCTTAGGTCTTTCATCCTGCTGTTGCGTGCTTTCACATTGCTTTTTATGTGTCAAGTTGTCTTGGATGTCATCCCATATCAGGACATATAAATCTGCCTTGTTCTTTTTATCTTACTCTATTAATTTTAATAGGTAAGATAGTCATAATTCAAGATTTAATTGGCACAAAGAGGGGAACGATGAAAAGAGTTCCTTCCTCCCTCTCCTTTAGCAACCAAGTTGCCCTGCCAGGGGTAACTAATGTTGCCAGTGACCCCTGCACCCCAGAGAGGGTATTTTCCAACCATACAAATGAGATCATCTATTTTTTAAAAAATTTATTTATTCATATTTTATTTATTTTTATTTTGAAAGAATTACAGAGAAAGAGAGAGAGATCTTCCATCCGCTGGTTCACACCCCAGATAGCTAAGCTGGGCCAAAGCCAGGAGCCAGGAGCTTCTCCCAGATCTCCCATGTAATGCAGGGGCCCGGGCACTTGGGCCATCCTCTGCTGCTTTCCCCGACACATCAGCAGGGAGGTGGGCCGGAAATGGAGCAGCTGGGACTCAAACCAGTGCCCACATGAGATGCCAGCATCCCAGACAGTAGCTTTACTCCCTACGCCACAACACCGGCCCCAAGTTTATGTATAAAAAGTCTTTCCCTCTCTTTAACTTAGCAGTAACAGCACACACATACTGTCTCTTGTTTCTACATCATAGGCTGAGGTTTTTTCCCTCAGGTGAAATTTCCTTGTTATTTTCAAGGACTACATTTAATGATGTTTGGAATGAGTCGACCTGAGAAAGTAATTCCTAGAAGTAGCCTTGAGGGACACAGCATTTGTGAGAAAATGCACTGATTTCCCTGCACAGAGATGGGTGGGCCCCGTCCCTTCTCTCGGTGGTGCAGGCAAAAACACCTTCTCCAGGCTCTGTGAACCCCTGTGACTTATTTCCTTACAAGCACAGTCATGCACTGCTTTAAAAAGGGGCATCCGATATGGGCGCCGCATTCTAGTCCCTGTTGCTCTTCTTCCAGTCCAGCTCTCTGCTGTGGCCCAGGAGGGCAGTGGAGGATGGCCCAAGTGCTTGGGCTCCTGCACCCGCATGGGAGACCAGGAGAAAGCACCTGGCTCCTGGCTTTGGATCGGCGCAACACCAGCCGTAGCAGCCATTTGGGGAGTGAACCAACGGAAGGAAGACCTTTCTCTCTCTCTCTCTCACTGTCTATAACTCTACCTGTAAAATTAATTAATTAATTAATTAATTTTTTTAAAAAGAGGGGAAGAGTTCCAAGAAAGGCATCATGGGGCACTTTCGTCATTGTGCAGACACCATTGAGTGCACCTACACACACCGGGGTGGTCTGGCCTGTTGCACACTTAGGCTGTCAGTACAGCGTGTCACTGTGCTGTAGGCAGCTGTCAGGCAACAGTGTGTGTGGGTCTGTGCATATCTAACCTTGGAGTACACGAGTGTCTCAGCCCCCTGCTCAATCCCGGGACCCCCATCACAGATGCAGCCACCTGACAGACTGCATGAGAAACAGTATCCCCCGGCATTGTCATGTATGGGTTCTCTCCTGACTGAGGAGGAACCTGCTGCCCCTGGAAGGACTGGCCCAGTGACATCCTCGCTCATGCATCGGTCAAGTGTTCGTTCAGCTTTTCCTCACTGGTGTTGGGAGTAGTTTAAGGACATTTTCATATAAGTTGGAAGGATTTTCCCACACAGTTTTGTACTTGTCTTTTGGCTGCTTTGGGGTTTATTATTTTGGGGTTTGGGGAGGAGTCATGCGAAAAATATTTTCATGTAGGCACATTCATCAGTCTTTCAATTTTATGGCTTCTGAGATGTGAAAGAGCCTTCCCAAATCAGAGAGTATAAAAGAAATTTATGGCCCTTCTAGTACTTTTACGGCTTCATTTTGCTCCATTCTTTTTGAAGGCAGCATAGAGTTTCAGTGCACGAGGACGTCATAATTACTTCTCCAGTCTCCCATTATTGGACACTTGGGTCGTTTCCAGTGTTTTCCCACTAAACATGATGCCGCCGCAAATCCCTGCGTGCATGGTACTTCTGTGCACATGTGGATGCGTATCTGAGGAGGAATTCCTGAGCATGGAATTGCCGGATCAAAGAGCTGGAGCATGTGCTGTGGATAGAGAGGGATGCCGTGTTGCCCAGCAACTCTGAGCAGAGCCACACCCGCTCCCATAGCACATGCCCACCCTCTCTTCCTGAAAGTATTCGGGTAGGGAGGATGGATGGTTAAAAGAACACTCCTTATCAAACTGATAAGGTCAATCACTCATAGCACTGAGGCCACTTGGTCTCATCTCTCCCTTCCTCTCTCGTTCACTCCTGGGCTGCCCCCCTCCACCGACTGGACTGGCAGGAAGCTGGATCTGAAGTAGGGGTGCCGGAACTCAAACCAGGCATCCCAGGTGGAGTCATAACTGCTGTGCCAAATGCCCAGCCCTGCAGTCTATCTTTGTGTTTCCTTGGTTTATAGCATTTCCACCTTGCTAATTTAGCGAAAGGTGGTCATTTTATTTCTTTCTTCCGTTAACAGAGAAAAAACTCACAGCCTTAAGGTATTTTGACAACTCTGCCACTAGTTCTGCAAGTTTGATCAAATCCCAGGACCTTGGAAACCCACTTGCTTCTCTGCAGGACAAGGACAGTGCAGAGGAAGGGAAAGGCTGCATAGCTTGGGGCTCACAGGCCATTCAGCCCAGGCTGCCCTGCAAACACCGAAGACTATGGCTTTCACAGGAATTTTGCTGCCTGGCTGTTTGGGGTGGTAGGGGCAGAGGGAGCTTCTCCCAACCCCTGCTCCCCCTCCAGGTCTGGGAGGGAGAAAGAACATGGGAGTAGCCAGGGTTCCTCCCATCAGGGTCCTCTGCAGGGGCTGCCTCTCCTGCACCACACAGACCCCCACCTTGGTGGGGAGGAACCTGGGGCTGGTGCGGCCAGAGAAGACAGGAGTGGGGCTGGGCAGGGGGCACTCGCGCGGGGGCTGGATTCCACAGCAGGAAGACAAGGCACACCACAACCGTGGGCAGGCCCTGGAGAATGCCAAGGCAGGAGGGGCGGAAGCAGGAGGCTGGCAGGCACCATTCTCCACTGCCAGACCCGTGGTGACTTTCAGAAAGGAAGCCGTCCCAGCGTCGCTGCCCTTGTCACCCTCGTGTGCACATCCTGGGCAGCTTCCGCTGGCCTACAGGGCAAGGGGCCTCTTCCCCCACCTTGGCCTCTTCTTCCCCTCCAGGGCCCCCCACCCCACCCAGCTGCTGCCTGTGCCCCCTTTTATGTCTCCAGTCCCAACTCATTGCCACGTTTTTTAACCTTAGGAGAAAAAAAAAAAATCCAAGCCTGGAAACCTCTTAATACAAACCAGATGAGGGGCTGGCGAAAATGTTTTTCTCGGCATCAATCACCAGAGTGCTTGCTGTGCTGAGAACCTGGTGAGCCCCTTCCAGACCCCGCTGGGCGAGGCACGGGCAAACAATGGTGCCTTCTGTGTGTTCAGCAAAGCGCCTTCTCCCTGTGCTTACCCCACTGCTCCGTGGATGCAGGTGGGATGTGGGGGCCGGCCTGGCCTGTGCAGGCTCAGAGGCTGACCCTCTGCCCCGTGTTCCTCCCGCACCCACCCCCATCCCGGGGCCAGGAGCAGTGCAGGCCTGGGGTCTCAGAGGGGAAGCGTTGGGAAAGTGGTGGCTTTGTAGCAGGTGGCAGCAAGCAGACCTCAGGGCCTCCTGGAAGCCCTTCCCTAACTCAGACTTAGGAAGACAGGCAGCATCAGGATTCTACAGGGTCCTCTGACCCGCACGAGACAGTGCCCTGCACCCAGGTAGGGGGCTCAGCCTCACATGCTGAGTGTTGAAAGGACGTGACAGTGCTTCGTAAATCCTTTAACAGCTGTGAGATGACATCATGTCTGCTCAGCATGTGAGTGCCAATGCCCACCTAATCCAGCCTGGTGTGAATGGTTGAGGCCATGCCGCCAGCACTGACCGGTTCAAGGGAGGCAGAAGACCCACGACCACCACGCAGCACCACCAGGGGACAAAGGCCTTGGCCCAGCCAGGGCCAGTAGTGGATGGCTTCTTCCTGCCTGAGGTCTCCTCAGCTCAGGAAGCCTAGGGGGAAGACAGCCATCAGGTCTGAGGACCGGGAGGGAAAGCAGGTGACAATACCCGAGAAGCATATGAGCTGCAGCAGGAACAGAGATGCCCTGTAGTAGGCCTTGAAGATGGCACTGAGATGGTGGGAGAGGCCTCCCAGCCCAGGGCAGCAGGTGAGAAGCCCAGAGGTGCGATGGGGGAGGGAAGTGTCTGTGCAGCCGCAGCCAGGTGGGAACAGGGGCCAGGGCCTGGGGCACAGAGGCAGCAGAGGCCAAAGAAGGCCCCTGGCAGATGCCGCTGAAGCTGAAGATCATGGAAGTGGGGCAGTGCAGGAGACCAAAGGCCTGGACCCTCCTCCGAAGCTCCAGGCCTGTGCTGTAGTACATGGAAGCCACTGGCCCATGTGGCTATTTTGTGGAGTTGGTATTTTTGCTTTGTTTTTAATCAGACAGGACACACATAACATAAATTCTCCATCATTTTAAATTGTACAATTCGGTAGTCTTTAGTATAGACCCAGTGCAGTACAACCATCAGCACTGCCTATTTCCAGAACATTTCCATCACCCCAAAAGCAAGCAGTAGTGGTTTGAATGTCTTCCTCTCCACCCTCCACCACCATCATGTTGAAATTTGATTGTAGCAGGGCTGAGAGGCGGGACCTTTAAGAGATGATGATGGCATAAACGCTCTACCTTGCAAATGTGGGTTGACTGTGGGAGGGTAGGGGGGTCTTATCCCAGGGGTGGGCTCTACTCAGCTCACACTCCACCCCTCCCACCGTCTCATTGGGAACTTGGAGGCCCTCAGCAGAGCCCTCCAACACCATAAGCCAAATAAACTTCTGTTATTTATAAATTACCCTGTGATGTTCTGTAACAGCAGCAGAAAATGGACTGACAGAAGCCCTGGTTGGGGCAGGTATTTTGCTAGCAGTTAAAACACTGCTTGGAATACCTGAGTCTCGCATTGGAGCACCTCGGTTCAAATCCTAGTTCTGCCCTTCCAGCTCCCTGCTAATGCACACCCTGGGAGGCAGCAGGTGATGGCTTGAGTGCTTGGCTCCCTGCCACCCATGTGGGAGACCTGTGACTGAGTTCCTGGCTCCTCGATTTAGCCTGCACTGGGAGCTCGCTCGCTCTCTCCCTCACTCCCTCCCTCTCAGACTAATAGAATAAATAAATCTGTTAAAGAAGGAAGCCCTAGCAGTGACTTCTGGCCACCCTGGACTTCCGGTCTCCGTGGGCCTGCCCCTCCTGGATGTCTCCTGGAGTGGAATCACACAGCCTGCTGCCTTTCTGTCTGGCTTCCTTCACTTCATGCCAGACTTCCAGCGGTCCCCCTTGGCTATTTACACTGAAATTGAAGTTAAATAGAGTTGAGAACTCAGCCCTTGGGTCGCACTCATCACATTCCAGGTGCTCCAACACCACGTGTGGCTTGCGGCTTCCACGTGGGCCGCCTGGGAACTGCTCCTGTCATCGCAGAAAGTTCTGTTGGCAGTGTTTTGAGTGAGGATGGAGCGCAGGAGGAGGAGGCCAGGGCTTCTGGGCCCTGCCCTGCCCACCAGGTGGGAGTGGACGCCTTCTCAGGTCCCCAGGGATCCCCCAGTGGGTTTTGCTGTTTCAGAGACTCTGATGGAAATCAGCCTTGCCGAGGGACCAGCCGCCCGCCAGCCCAGCACTGGGTTGACCCCCTTCCGCTAAGTTCTGTGCGCCCGGCGCAGGGCAGCTGCCTATCTGCAGCCATCAGGCACTCCGAGTGGCCCCGCATATGACTCTGATTAATAATGATGGGAAAACAAGCTCGCTGTTCCTGCAGAAATGCAGCCTGGGACACAGGATCTTTTCAGGAGGGGGCAAAATAATAAAAAGGGCCCTTGTGTGATCCAGGTCTAGGGGCGACTATTATTAGCATTCTGTGGATGGCCTTTGGGGAGTGTGTGAGAGCACACACAGAGGGTGTGTGTGTGTATGTGTGTGTATGGCATTTAAGTGTTTGTGTATTTTTGTGTTTAATTTTTAAAAAACAATTTAAACATACAGCTTCCCTTTAGCCCCTGACAGCATACAAGGATCATTCCAAGGAGAAATTTTGAGGTTTCCAGAGCCAATGGGTGTGCTTACATCACCACTCATAAAACCAGCGTCTGAAACTCATTTCTGTTTAGCCAGTTTCTTCTTTAAGGTTCAAGCAATACGCTCAGTGTAAACATGAGCAAAATACAGGTATCTTTGACTTCTGGAGGAGAGAGAGAGATCTTGGTCAAAAAGCATGCTTTGTAAAATGCATTCAGACTTTTGCAAAAGTATCATGAACTCCCACAGATGGAGCCCACACCAGCCTCCCAGATCTCAGCCTTGCTCCACCCCCATCATTACTTTGATTTACGACCAAGTTGTCTTTCTTGTAAAATGCCTATAGCTGCATTTTGGGATCTGTCCAATCAACAGTCTGCCTTTTTTGCTGACATGTTTATGGTTCCAGCTTGTCCCTTGCTTTCCTGTGTTTCTGGTTAGCCCCTTCTTACTGTAAAGATCGCTGTCCATATGTCACTTAGCCAAGACAAGGATTCCCCGCGCCTCCATGTCCCTGGATGTCCCCATGTGCGATTCCAGGCTTGGTTCCTCTGTTTGTTTATTTTCTCTTTACTTTGGAGTCGGGGCAGGAGAAAACCATCTTTGCTCCAGAATGCAGTTGCCTTTGATCTGCGCGTGTCTTGGAGTGTGTTCTGGACTTCTCTTCTCTCACTGGAGTTCCTCAGGGTTTTCCACGGCAGATTCTTGCAGCCTTCTGCATTTGAGAGTGTTTTGGTCCTGCCCTCCCACTTGGGTGACAGTGGATACTCACTTCATTGCTTGTATTTGTCCATTTTCTGTTACTCCAATGAAGTGCCAGAGGCAGGCTGCTTTATAAAGAAAAGGAGTTCATCTAGCCAGTGCAAAGGTCCAGAGGTGGGCGTGGGGGTGGGGTGCCTCTGTTGGCTGCAGAGGGCAGGAACCCAGGTGATGGGGCAGGGCTAGAGAGGGTTTCCAGGATGCACACACAGCCCACAGAGAGGTCTCTGGGAACAGGGCCTGTGGCTCTGCGTGTCGGAGCTTTGGAGACTTTGCGAGGGCTGGGTTTGTTCTGGATGGGGGCCAGCCCAGCAGCACTGGCACCTTAGGGAGTGGGCTTTGGCTCAGCTAGAGTTTTTCTAACAGGCAGAGCTGTCCAAAGGTGGAGTCCATCTCTCTGAGGTAGTGAGCTCCTCATCAGAGAAGGCATTCAAGTAGAGGTCGGCTGAGCTGTGTCCCGGAGGTGGGAAAGGAATTGCTGCCTAAAGCAGGAGCTGTGACTCACTCAGCCCTAAGGTTCTGTTTCCAGGTTCCAGGGCTTGTTGCTGGTGGAGCCAGGCTGCAACCAGACCTGGGCTGCCTCACAGTCCTGTCTTCCGGTCACGTCAGGTGCACCTGGAACCCAGGCAGATTCACACTTGGACCCCGCCAAAGTGCAAGCACTTGGCCACCCTCAGTTGCAGGTGCCCTAGATCTGCTGAGCCCCCAAACAGAAGCACCTGGTTCTGCAGTGCACTCAGCCCTCTGGTATCCGTGGCTCCACATGAGAGGACTCAACTGACCTCACATAATCCTGGGCGGGAGCAGGGGGATATGTCTGTACTGAACACACAGAGACGTTGTTTCTTGTCATCATTCCCCAAACAATACAGTGTAACAACTGTTGGATATAGCTTTTACATGCACTGGGGATGTTGCATAGACTAACAGGCGTTTCTAAGTAGCGATGATGGAGATGACAGAACATATATGGGAGAAAGTACCTAGGTTCTTTTCTTTTTTAATGCTTTTTTATAAATCCTTGTGTGGAGGGCTGACTTTTAGTAGATCACAGCGAGGAAGCTGCTCTGCTACATACGAAACCCCCATGTACCTAAGTTCTATGCAAGTTACTAGGGACTTGAGGGGCTGCAGGTTTTGGTGGCAGTGAGGGGGTCTTGGAAGCAATCTACAGGGACGCCGAGGGTGCACGTGGTTTCCATCAAACACCAGCTGATGGCTAAGGCTAGTGTCCCCAGAGATCCAGGAGTCACCACAGCTCTGGGGGAGCAGCCTGTGGTGCTCCTGGCCTTAAGGGGCTTCTCAGAGGACCTTTCTAGGATGTTCTCAGCTGCACCGTGCTGTTGGGGGAAGGGGATCCTCGATGTGAGTCCAGGGGCAGGGGGAGGGGCTGCCGGCTGCCACCCTGTTTGGTGCCCTCCAGACCTCCCAGAATCAGGTGCAGAGATGGACACTGTCCGTGTGCAGTTGGTCTTCAGCACCTGAGTTCTTGGTGTAGTAACTCAAAGCGAGGATCAGACTTTACCTGGCCAAGCCTCAGCTTCCCAGAGATGGTGTGGGGCTCTCAGTGGTTCCCCCTTCATGCAGTTGTCAGAAACCTGGGGGTTGTGGTCCATGCAAACTCCATAAATGTCAGGAATCGCCCCTGTAATAATAATACTAGTAACTATATATATATATATATATATAACCCGTATTAATATATACATATGTAGACATACTTTATAACAGGCTCATAAAACATAATTAATTATCTAAATTATTACTGTGGACAATGAATGATGAAGATAGGGAGAATGCAGAGAAACCCAGTGTCCAGGCAAAGAGGCAGCCTCGGCCCCCTCCCCCAGTCTCGGGGAAGAGCCCCCACACTCCCAAAGCTGGGACTTATGGATCTGAGTGCTCCCGACCCCGCAACTCCCCGACTCCTCCCCCACCCCCCACCCCGGTCCGTCTGGCCTGCAGCCCAATTTGCGGAGAGATCGTCTGTTTGAACGCACCGCAGTTTATGGAAGGTAACTGCGTAGTTTGCCAGCGCCCTGGTGTGCTGTTGTACAGAAGGCTGCAAGCCCGCCTCTCCTTTCAGGGACGTGCTGGGCGCGGGCCAAGGGGCGGGGGTCCAGCCAACGCATGCGCCGCACCAACACCGTGCTGCGCTCCCTCCCCGGACCACCCCACCCCAGCCCCAGGCCTCACTCCCAGGGAAGTCAGAGCCGGAATCCCAGACACCGCAAGGACAGAGGGCGGGAGCTGTCACTGCTGTTCTGCCTGTGCTGCAGACATGAGGGGTTTTTTTGTTTGTTTGCTTTGCCTTGTTTTGTCACAGCTTGACCTTGTTTTTGTTTTATCTCTGCCGTATAAATCTGTATAGATCCGCATGGATACAACCGCATAGATGCTCAGCCAGCAGACGCAGTTTTATTCTTTACAAGAGCAAATCACTCCCCAGTCAGCCAGAGCCCTTGGAAACCTGATTCTGCTCTGCTTTTCCCTCTACTCTTAGAATTTCCAGCTTCCCTCCATTTTAACTTTTGTTTATTTTGTAAAGCACCGTGAAGCCAGAGATGAAACAGACTGCTCTGCCAAGAGCAAGATGAACTGTTAGCTAGATGCTTTCTTTCCTAGTGGTTGAAATGAAATTCACATAACATAAAATATGCTTAATCTGACGAGTCGGGGGATTGTGGACATTCACAGGATCATGCAACCCTCACCCCTGTGTAGTTCCAAGACATTTTCAGCACCTCAGACAGAAAGAGCAGCAGTGGCCCCTCATCCTGCCTTCCCCCAGCAGTCTCCGTGGCTCTGTCTGTCCTGCAGGTGTCGTTGACATGAAGTCATGCAGTATGTGGCTCATTTCGAGGTTCTGAGTGCACCCATGTTGTAGCATCTGTCAGCATTCCCTCTGCGCTGTGTGCATGGCCCCACTCTGAGCCGCTGGCTCACTGATGGACTTGTGAAGTGTTTCCACTTTGGGCTACTTTGCGCAGTGTGCTGTGAGCATCCGAGTGCCTATGCTTGCTTGAATGCTTGTTTCCAGTAAGCTGAACCGAAGAACAGTGCTTCAGAGAATTCAGTGAGGGGCGGCCATTGGGCCTCAAAGTTAAGATGCTAGTTAATTTGCCCACATCCCATACTGGAGAGCCTGGGTTCGAGCCTGGCTCCCAGCTCCAGGTTCCTGTTAATTCAGACCCTGGGAGGCAGCAGAAATGACTCAAGTACTTGGGTTCCTACCATCCACGTAGGAGAGACCTAGATCAAGTTCCTGGCTCCTGATTTCAGCCTGGCCCAGCCCTGGCCGTTGTGGGCATTTGGGGATTGAGCCTGTAGATGGCAACTCTTTCTCTAACACTAAAATTAAAAGTGAAATCAAAATGCTGTATTCTTTCCTTTTTAAAAATTTCAGAAATGGAATTAAAATGTTTATTTTGGATGCTAAAAAAAGATGAGAGTCACATACAGATTTTTTCATAGTACACATTTTCCATGAATTTTTTTTTTTTTTTTTTTTTGACAGGCAGAGTGGACAGTGAGAGAGAGAGACAGAGAGAGAAAGGTCTTCCTTTGCCGTTGGTTCACCCTCCAATGGCCGCCGCTGCAGCCGGCGCACCGCGCTGATCCGATGGCAGGAGCCAGGAGCCAGGTGCTTTTCCTGGTCTCCCATGGGGTGCAGGGCCCAAGCACCTGGGCCATCCTCCACTGCACTCCCTGGCCATAGCAGAGAGCTGGCCTGGAAGAGGGGCAACCGGGACAGAATCCGGCGCCCCGACCGGGACTAGAACCCGGTGTGCCGGCGCCGCAAGGTGGAGGATTAGCCTATTGAGCCACGGCGCCGGCTCATTTTCCATGAATTTTAAAGACCCCTGTTATACATGTATTTCAACATTTTTTGCACCAAATAAACTTAAAAATTCCATTTTCTGTGAACTTTTTGAAACCCCTCATGTGTGTCAGAGTGGAATTTCTGCATCCTAAGGTAACTCTGTGGTTAGAAGTTATTGAACACCTCTGCAAGTGCTAGCCTGTACCACCTCATCCCCTCACAGCCCCAAAACTCTGCCCGTTCTGGGCCCTTGGTGTGCGTGTCCCTGCAGCCTTCTTTCCCCCCACTTGTCTGCTTTGTTGTTGTGTTGGACAAGAGGACTCTCAGGCTGACCCAACACAGCCACACTGGTGACAGTGCAGGGTGATTGGCATGCTGTGTTTCGTTTGGAATTCTTTGTCAAGACGTGGTAGATAAGTTCTCACTCAAACACAGCAAGAAGCTGGCACTGTGCAATAACTGCAAATGATCACAGTCCCCTGGACTTGTTACAGACCCTTTGCCTTAAGTTGTCCGTCTGTGTTGACAACAGGTTCTGCTGAAACTCTGTCTTCATCTCTAAAGAGTGACACTAAGACTGCCATCTGTGTGGCTGGAAGGCTTGCCAAGCTCTAGCGTGAGGGTCTTCAGATAGCTTCCATGCACCGGGTCTCTTCCATGCACCAGGGCTTCGGGCAGTGTGTGCCCAGGTATAGCAGTCATGGGATAAGCGGAGCAGACAGCATCTGTGTTTTTCTCCCTTGGATGGATGCTCCAGGGCCAGCCCATGGGCCAGAGTGTCTCTAATGATGGACGAGCTCCCAGACCTGGGTTGGGTGTGACACAGCAGCCCCAACAGCTACTGCCCAGGGGCAGAAGCACCAAGAAGGCAGTATGTGCAGGGGTGGGGGGTGGCACAGCACATTCCACCAATTGCCCAAGCTCTGGGACAGGGTCAGAGGATGCAGAAGGAGGAGGAGATAAAGGGCATGACCAGCCAGAGAAGCAGCTGGACCACAGACAGGACAAGGACTGCAGGGCTGCAGTGGGCAGAGGAGGGGTGGGCTCCGGGCTTTCCATGTCACAGTGAAGAGCTGCACTTGCTGCTTTGGGCTTTGGCCACAAGGGGGCAGCCACAAGCCAAACCCACACTTGCCAGGGTTTTCTTGGTTTTAAACCATGAGTCAACAATTTCAAATAAGGGTTAATTCTTTAAAAAAAAATCTAGCTTCTCTGAAAAAAATGAAAATATCTGGAAACAGTTGGCTATATCTAGGTAGAAGCGGCTCCCTCCGGGGATCCTGTCTCTCCAGCCCTGAGACAGTGTCAGTCACCGTTTACTATGGGCTTGCATGCTGCTTTCTCCTAGCAAAGAAAGGCTGCTCTGGACCACACCTCTGTGATTTTCGCTCAGTGAGTCTGTTTTTGTCCCTGGAACCTGCAGCAGAGTTTGAAGCTTGGCCAGGGGGTCTGGATTCACAATGGCAGACAACGGAACCCACTCCAGCTCATTTAAGTAAAAAATGCCAGATAGGGGTATGAGGGAATCCGCAGCCCTCCAGGCCAGAGCTTGCAGGTGTGAATTGCTCCCTGGCCATGCCTCCAGACCCCTGCCAACAGCTCTGCTGCCAAGTCAGGAAGCCGCTCAAAATCACACTGCCTCCACCAGCAACAGGGGGTGCTCTGAGCCCCAGCGCTGTCCCCACGAGCTCAGCCACAAATCGGAATACGTTCAGATGCTCCCGGCTGGTGCAATGGCAGTAACACCTATATCCCAGCAGCAGGAAAGCAGGGGGAATTTGCAGTGCGAGTTTATCCCAGTGAAAGTGTCTAGATAAGGGGAGAGCCATCACGGTGACCACTGACCACTCCAAGCTCTGGGGAAGGCAGTGGTTTTGATGTCTGCAAGGTCACCAGCAGAGACTGCACCAAGCCCCTCACCAGGGAAAGGCACTGGCCAAAGAGAGGATGACCCCAGGCCTGCAACAGCCCCACAGCCCAGGGTGGTCCCTGGCAGGCCAGCTGGGCAGCCTTCTGGCAGCTGTGCTACCCCCACCCGCACTGGCCAAGTGGCTTCGTGTGGCTTTTGCGTGCCTTCCTCCTGGCCTGGCCCTGCGGGCTGACTGCCCAGGCTGCCGCTCGAGCAGCTGTGACACTATTTCAGAACTCTTTGTTCTCTTCATGGAATTTAGAGGAAGCCCCTGCCAGCTTGGAGACTGGGCCCAGCACTGATAACAGCTGGGATTAAAAGATGAAAAAGCACACAAATGTCCCAGCTCGGCCTGACACCGAGAAGCCAAGTGTCTATGTCTCAACCTTGCAGCCTGCGGCATTTGTGCCCGCCCCACTCTCCCTCCGACTCTGACTGTCTCTGTCCTCTGAGCTCAACCTGCTAAGAGCCATGCACAACCGGGGCATCCATCCTGCCCTGAGGGCCTCTCAGCCCCTGGGACCACTTAAAGAACTCCAAGGGCAGGTGGCTCAAGCCAGACGTGAGCTTACCTTCATTTTGATGGTGAGGTTCCTAATGCAGCCCCGAACTCTGGTTCACATGCAGGCCTCCCATAAGCCTCCAAGCACCTGAGAAAGTGCCATCTTGTAGCCAGTTTACAGAGAGGGACATGGAGCCCCGGGAGATTCGGTGACGTGCCCAGGGCTTCAAAGCCTCTTCCTGTGTGGTTTGCAGGCTCCCAGCCATCTCTGCCAAATAAACCCAGAAGCAGTTTGTCTGCCTTCTGGAAGGTTCTTGAGACACAGAGCCACCCCCAAGCTGCCCAAACCTACAGCTCCGGCATCCCAAATGACACCAGTTCAAGTCCTGGCTGCTCCATTTCCGCTCCAGCTCTCTGCTTATGGCCTGGGAAAGCAATGGAACATGGCTGAAGGGCTTGGGCTACTGCACCTGCGTGGGAGACCCAGAAGAAGCTCCCGGCTCCTGGCTTCGGCCTGGCCTAGCCTCTACTACTGCGGCTGTTTGGGAGTAAACCAGAGGACAGAAGATCTCTCCCTCTCTCTGTCTCTGCCTTTCAAATAAACAAAATAGATTAAAAAAAAAAAAATACAAGCCAGTGAGCACTGGAGTGCTCCTAGGGCACTGACTGAAGGACCTCTCACCAGACCTCCTACTCCAAGTAGCACCATCCTGGGGACCAAGCTCCAGCTCTCGGGGGCGCCCCCCAGCCATTTCCCTCCTCACAGGCCCCATGTGCAAGTTCTCAGTAACCTCTCATTTCAGCCTTTGCTCCCAGCCCAAAGTGGGCGGACTGAGACGGCCCGGGAGGGTCTCCAGGGGCAGATGTGGCTGTGGAGTGTTTCTGGTCTTCTGTTGGCTCTTTTTTTTTTTCCTTTAAGATTTGTTTATTTGAAAGGCAGGGTTACAGAGAGGCAGAGGTAGAGAGAGAGAGAGAGAGAGAGAGGCTCTGGCTCACTCCTCAAATGGCTGCAATGGCCAGAAATGAGCCAATCCAGAGCCAGGAGCTTCTTCTGGGTTTCCCACATGAGTGTAGGGGCCCAAGGACTCAGGTCATCTTCCACTGCTTTCCCAGGC